GGATAGATTTTTGTTAGGTAAGGGTATCAAGGGATATGGAGCAAAGGTGGGTAAATGGAGTTGAGGTACAGATCAGCCAGAAACTAATAGAATGGTGGAACAGGCTCGAAGGGCTGATTGTGGGAACTCCCGTTCCTATGTTACGTTCCATAGGGTATTATTGTAATGTTTTATCGGTCATTAGCTGTACACAATCTCCTAGAGTCTTTGCATTATGAAGAGTGTTTGCATTATGAATCAGAGATTATGTGTATTGAAAGCTCATTCATTACTGAACTGCAAAAGACAAGTAACATGATTCTTATATCTAGAGTCTGCCTGTCCGTCCTCAAGTCCTGGACGAGGGATGACTTTCTCCAACTCAACGTCAGCAAGACCGAGGCCCTCCTGGTTGGCTCACGCCAGTTCCTCCGCACCTCGGCCGCTGGCAGCATCAGCATCCACGGCTGCACACTCAACCTCACTAAGCCAGTCAGGAACCTAGAAGCCTTGCTTGACCCTGAACTGTCCTTTCTCCCCCACATCCGCGCCATGACCGGCACTGCCTACCACCACCTCCGCAACATTGCCAGACTCTGCCACCCCTTAGGCTGCCGAAACCTTCACCCATGCATTCGCCACATCAAGGCTCGATTACGGAAACTCACTCCTCATCGGCCTTCCCAACTCTTCCATTCACAAGCTGCAGATCATCCAAAATTTTGCAGCTCGTGTATTTCACGCACCAGGTTCCACGACCCCATCACTTCCACCCTTGCTCAACTCCACTAGCTCCTCATCCCCTAGGGATTGAGTTTAATAATAATATAATAATAATCCTTGCATTTGATATAGCGCTTTTCACATCTTCTAGACTTTTCAAAGCGCTTCACCGAATAGACTGTAAAGTGAATTAACTGTATATTTGTGGGCGAAATGTGGCAGCCAATTGCGCACAGCAGTGTCCCACAAACAGTCGTGGATTGAAAATGAACAATTTATTATTGTTTTGTTTTGGAGGGATTATTATTAGGTGTGTGGAGTAAGGAAACTTGCCCAAGGTTTCGCCCTGCCTGGAATTGAACCCAGGTGTCTCACTTGCAAGGCAAGTGTTCTAACCACTGAGCTACAGGACTCCTTGATGCTGTATTAAGAGCCTCATCCCCACTTTCAAGGCCATCCATGGCCTTGTCCCCTCCTACCTCTCTGACCTGCCAATCAATCTGCCCGCTCCTTCTGTTCAGCGAGCTCTGGTCTGCTCCATGTCTCCCGCCTGACTTGCTCTACCATCGGTGGCAGGGCTTTCAGCCTCTCTGCCCCACACTCTAGAAATCCATCCCACAGTCCCTTCGCCTCACTTCCTCCCTTGCTTTCTTGAAGGCCGATCTCAAGACCCTTCGATCATGCCTTCGGTCACCCTCCCACCTCTCTCCCTTCCCTCAAACCCTAGCCCACCACTCCCCCATGCTTGGGTCCCGAACCCTGACTGTCCAGCAGTTTGGGACATCCTCCTAACATGAAAGACGCTCTATAAATGTATTTTGTTGTTGTTAGAGTGTTTTTTAAAAGAGAGAATACTCATGTCAGGGACCCTATACGTAATGTGTTGTAAACTATTTACACAGTAACCCACACAAACTCAATGCATTCCTCTTATCTGACTGTTGTTCATGGTATTCTCTGCCTCTTCTGTTATCTGGAATCCTATTCGATTTGGAATAAATATACAAATATTCCTATATTTTCTAAATCAGTCAACCCACAATGTTTGTGTACATTCAGATTTACTCTTTATGAACTGCTTATGTTATCAATATGGGAGGCTGTCGTTTCTTAAGCACCCTGGCAGCATCTTTACTAATTTTAACTTTCTTTGATACAAAGACACATTTCCGAAATATTATCTATTGTTGAGGCTACATATTCCGTGCAACAGTTTTAAATATTAATTTTGGCTGCAGTTGGCTCCCTAACCGTACTATTGTATCGTTTCTGATTTAAAATGCACTGTTATAATGTAAAGGACCTGGAATTTAAAATAAAACAGGTCTGAGCTATCATTTATTTAGATAATAAAATGAAGGCCAAACACAGCAAAAAGCTACGTCCTCTTTGAACTCTCAATACAGCATTTTTTTTGTTAAACCTAATGATTGATACCAATAAATAGTCAAATTTCAACACGGTGGTATTCCTCTGGTCAGAATACCCCGGTTAAAATACCAACCTTGCCTAGTTTTCCAACCCATACCGCTCTTGTAATCTTATCTGATGCTATTCACATTGATTTGATTCCAAATGAAGGGGAGGTGGGGGTGAAGGGGGGTTGGTCTGGGGGGAAAGACTTGAGTACTCAGCAGAGATGAGGGTAATCCATGACTGGAGCAGGTTGCCAGGAAGGACACTGGACTCATTGAAAAAGCTGAAGGCGCTCTAGAAATGTAATTTTGTTATTGTTGTTGTGATGGGGGACGATAGGACTGATCTTCTGCAATGCTGAGATTAGATGGGCTGGAAACTTTCTTCATCCTAAACCAGTCTTGTGGTCTTGCGACACAAGCACAAGTAGTTAGTAAACTCAGAGGCAAGTGCAACCCTTCTGTGTGTTCCAAGCAGCCATTTAGTGTCAGATGCCTGGTAGAAACTTGCTCGCTTGGAATCTGCTACCTTGGGGTAGAGAATGGCGACTGGTACAGGGAGAAACAAAATGATAAAGAGAAATATTGTAATGACTGGAAAATTAAAAGGGAACAACCACAATCAATCACGCTAAATAATATCTTCAACACCAGAACGGGATGTGGAGCTGCAATTGATGTGAAAATCCATTCTGTTTTATTGGAGTAGCTCTTTGAGAAATTTTGGTTTTAAAAAAAAACTTGGGTTTGTTAGCTTGCTGGAAAAGAAGATCAATGTATTTCACATCACAAGCGTCAAAAATCCATGATTCATAATTAACACCATCAAAAGTAAATTAGTAATGTGTGACTATTGGGAAATTCCATTTGTGGCTGACATCGCCAAACATGAATTATCTTATGATATTTTTCCCCCCACACATGTGTATTGCCAGGTAGTGAGGTAGTGAAATTGGGGGTCTTAATTATATTATAATTGTTAATTGTGACTTCATGATTTTTAACTGATTTCAGATATGCCAGAGCAACAGAACATTTTTTTTTGTCAATCTAGAGAGATATACCCTGCTTAACTAATTCCAGAAAATACTTGGCTCAGGTTGGCAACAACTAAGGCTTAGAAACTCTTGGGGGGTACTGTTTTGAGTTTAACAAGCTGACACTGAGTACCATTGTGAGCACTGTCTGGCAAGCTTTCTGCTGATAGTCCAGTCAGGGCTCTTTAGTTTGGTGAATTAACAAGGTAGAGTGGGAAGAACCTCGGCTCCCAGTAACTGCTCTAAATTAGAAAACGGCTTAATGAATTGAAAGGAGGCGGATAGGGTAGGTGTTCTGGATGGCTGAGATCAAATTGGCCTGAAAAACCTTCTTCATCCAAACTGATCTTGTGAAACAAATGGGCAAGATGCACTGGAAACATAGATGAAATGTCACAGTAATTTCTAGTCCACTGCTCGTTCTACAGCTCAGTCTACCTTTCGCTCCTTGTACTACCATCTAAAGTGCTGGGCAAGTTGGACTGGGACATCTCAACTAACAGCGGCAGCTTAGAATGTAATAGCACCACCCAGTGGCCCAAGCAGGAGATACCAACACAAAATGTTGCAGAGGCGACTTGTGAAAAGTTCTCATAAATCTTGTTGCTAAATAATAGTAATTGGAGACATTTAAAGCCATCGATCCTTAGGAAATATAAAATGGTCCTAAAATTTTCCGGATGTTGTCCCACATTATTTGCCTTCTTCATTTGGTGCCGGGACAGGGGGAGGGGAGAGGGGGGAAGAAGGGGGAAGGAATATTACACTGCGGATGATAAATTGCTCCCCCTCATCTCACATCTTCTCTCCTCTATTTGGATTCTTAAATTGGTTCAATTTGGCCCGGAGGGCAAATTAATGAATTATCCAGAATTTAAGTTCATCATTTGGTCTTGTAGCAAATATAGAGATAATATTATTCCAAATTGTGTTGAACTTCCCGGTCTGTTTCTTTGATGCCTGAAAATGTAAGGAGGAATGAATGCAGAAATGCTTCTACAAAAAAACCTCACTGCTTTCTTTCAGGAACTTATAGAACCAATCACTCTTAGCATTGTGGCATAATTGCATTGCAGTTAACCATATATATTGGTAATAATCCCTGCATTTGTTATAGCACCTCTCACATTTGAAGGATACCTCAAAAGCAAGGTTTATTATAAAGAGCTTCATATGATTTTAATGTGAAGTGTAATGACAGTGTGTTTTCTAGGCAATATATATTTCCATACACTACCACCTGAATTAAACTAGAAGCAATTGAGAATGGTCTGGGGCCATTCTTTAATCACTGGTTTATATGTATATAAACATATATGAACATTGTTGTGTCCTAAACTCCCACCGTAATGCTCGGTACATTTATGGCAAGTGCACAATTCGTTAGAAGTTAGAAAATGTGTGAATTAACCTAATTTAGAAAAATAGAGGTATTTATTCCAATGGTGTTTCATTTCGTCGTAACTCAAAATTCAAACTTATTAAAGATCCCATTTTCTAATTTATTGCGTGCAATGTAGACGTCCTGATAATTCAAACTAGCAGCATCATAGATGCAAATAGAAATTACCCATTTATAACAATATACAATATTTTCCACAATGTACGTAGCAATTCTTACACAAAAATGACTCAAATTTGGGGCTGGTTGCTTAATGCTAATAAGATAACATCGTATTACCTCTAGTGAGTCACTCTTTATTATACATTACTGTACACTACTCAGAAACTATTACTTATTCCCAAGTGATTGTATTTCATGGGTCACTCACTCGCACTTGGTTTCTGTCCTTGACTGCTGTATTCATCTAGTGGGTATCTATCAGCAGGCTTCTTATCTCAGATGCTGGCCTTCATGTGGAGAGTATAAAGGCAGAGCTCAATGGCACTGGAGCTCAGAAACAAAGCAACACATCCTCTGAAAACCATGTTACCAGCAATGTTTAAATTGTGCTGTGGAATCTCACACCAACATTTCAGGAACATGACAGGTAAAGAGTTGGAGCAATGTAGTGTCAGCTTCTGGGGAAGTCTTGCAATGAAAATCTAAGTTTAGATTGTCTTCAAACTAGAGCATGCATATGTTTGCTGGAATATCCAACTATTTTGAAAAATGCGTATAAGTATGTGTGTGATTATAAAGTATGGATCAGTGAAATGATTCGGGAATATAGATTTACTTGAACTTTTTAATTCTTTTCCTAATTTTTAATCCTTTTCTTAATTTAAACGTTGCTGGTAACGTAGAGTCCTGTAGCTCAGTGGTTAGAGCACTCGCTTTGCAAGTGAGAGACCTGGGTTCAATTCCTGGTAGGGTGAAACCTTGGGCAAGTTTCCTTTCTCCACACGCCTGATAATAATCCCTCAAGAAAACAAAACAATAATAAATTGGTCATTTAAATCCACGACTGTTTGTGGGACACTGCTGTACGCAATTGGCTGCTGCATTTCACCCACAAATATACAGTCAATTGACTTTACAGTCTATTCTGTGAAGCGCTTTGAAACGTCTAGAAGACGTGAAAAGCGCTATATTAAATGCAAAGATTATTATCATTATTATTATTATTAATACAGGATTGAAACAAACTGCTGTAGCTGCTCTTGGGCACGAGATGACAAGAATGAAAATTAAAGAGGAGCTTCATTCAAGCACTTGGGGTGGACTTACTCAGAGGAATGATTCCCTTGCTGGTGAGCATTTAAACCTTCCTTTAATTTGAAACAATGCAGAGCCTGCACTCAGAGCCTCTCAACATGTGTTTCTATGTACAAATACGTTGCATGTGTGTGTGTTTCTGTATACAGTATTAATCATTGTAATAATATGCCAGGAATCTTTAAAAAATAAAGTGTAAATGTCTGAGCCTGAGGCACCTGATCTCACCAGGGTTGGGCAAACAGGAGATGCAATTGCTATATATAATAGTCCTTGCATTTGGTATAGTGCCTTATTACGTCGTTGAGACATCTCAAAGCGCTTCACAGGAATATACTGTAAAGTGAACTGACTATATTATGATTTTAGCGACCTTCGGTTAGAAAGAGGCAAGTAACAGCAATTATGTTGATTACAATTATGTTATAACACTTCTATTTATCTTAGCCATCAGGGTGGAAAATCAAAGACCAGAAATAAACCCAGCACTAAACACAGAAGAGCTGTCCTACATTAAGCAAGGCAAAGAAACGTTACAGGAAGCACTGAGCATTTTAAAGCAGAAAGATGGATGGATAGCAGAAATCAAAGAGGTAATTTGCATTCTCCTTGTAGTTGCCTGGAAAGCATGTAGAATAGAAGTCAAGAGATAAAGAATCTCCAAACTTGTTATAATGATTTAGGACATTATTGTTGTTTCCTAAAGAAACCATCCTGAAACAACTTATTAATCACAGTGCCTGCTAGCAAGCCTACTAAGCGTTTTACACACGTATGGATATAAATAGGAAATCAAGCTATGCCCAAGACTGTGGTTCAGGGACAGATGTGCAACAACAACAACAAAATTACATTTATAGAGCGCCTTTCACATCGGGACGACGTCCCAAGGTGCTGAAATGTAGAATATGAGCAACAGGAGATCAAATACCCACATGAGGAAGAAGCATTGTTTAATATGTATGTTGATGGACTCTGGGTGGGAGAAAATATCCTCATCTATTACCCTACTCACCCTACTCCAATGCTGCTCAGAGAGCTGATAGGTTTGATGCCTGAGATATGGAGATGAATAGTTTTCATTTGTAGCAAAGGATAACAAATGCACATTTCTTTCCTTTCAGGTGAATGGCGACAATGTAATGAGCAAAGTTGTACCTGGAAGCGGGAAGGTCTTCAAATTGGAGCTGGTTCTGGATGCATCTATGGAACAGGTGTATAAAGAGCTCTATGAAAAACTGGAAGAAATGAACACATGGAATCCAAGCATTAAGCAAGTGAAGGTGAGCAAACTTATGGCTTCTTTTAGAGTGTTCAGCAAATGTTGGGTAGTTCAGGAGTCCCGTAGCATAGTGGTAAGCGCATTCACCTCGCAAACAAGAGGTCCCAGGTTTGATTCCACAGCAGGTCAAAACCTTAGGCAAGTTTCCTTACTCCACACGCCTCTGATTACCTAGCAGTAAGCAGGAACCCAATTGTCAGTTGATTCGCGGATTGCTTTCCAAGGGTAATAATCGCTCAAAACAAATTGACCACTCAGCCTACGATTGTTTGTGGGACACTGCTGTGCACAATTGACCGCCGTGTTTTCCCCACAAAATACAGTCAATCCACTATACAATATACTCTGAAGGGCTTTAAGACAGCTCAACAACGTGATAAGGCACAAAATCAAACGCTAGGATTATTATATTGTTATAAAAAAAATGCTTTGCTCAGAAAAATAGTTTGACGTTTTCATACCATTGTTTTTCAGATTCTCCAGAAGATTGGCAAGGAAACCATAGTTACTCATGAAATCATGGGAGAGACGGCAGGAAACATTATTGGAACAAGAGACTTTGTCAGCGTGAGGCACTGCTGGAGAGAAGGATCCTTCTGCTACTTGGTTGGTACAGCCACAGAATCCAAGTTCATGCCACCGCAGAAAGGCTGTGTAAGGTACAGCACATTTGCATATCATTCGACCAACTACCTTAAAGTCACTTCTAATGGAAACTATTTGATACTTAAAACAGGAAATTTAAAACTTTTCTTCCTTCCAACAGAGCTGAAATTCGACCCTCCTGCATTGTCCTGCATCCTGCAGAAACTAACAATAATAAAACACAGTTTACTTGGCTTCTCAGCATGGATCTTAAGGTAGGTTTGTTATTCTATCATTCAACATCTTACATCTATTGAATAACATATGCATTGAATTGTTAAGACATATGGGTTGTTTGGCCATTATTGAGATTTTCTATTATATTGTAAAAGGTCTTGTGCATAACCCTGAACAGAAATGTTACCACAATAATCCTAAAGGGAGTAACGCGGACTGGATAATAGTTCAACTGGGTGTTGCCACTTGTTGAGCACTTCTTCTGAGTGGCCATTCTTCATGTGTGAGCCAAATCGCCTCCCGTGTTTTCTGCAGCTCTCAACCACACCACGCTTAATCAGTAATAGAATGCTTTGCCACAAGTGACTACTCAAGTTAGGGCTGTAACATTTCAAGTGGAATTAGATAATTATCTGAGGAGAACAAATATAAAAAGATTTAGGGAAAAATTGATGGGAATTTGGATAAGGGTATGAAACTCTGGTGCAGGAGCAAGCTCTCTGGACTGTAACAATCTTGATATAGCTTGAATGTTTTCCTACATTTCCAATTTTTAATGCGACTATTATTTCTTTCAGGGATGGTTGCCAAAGTCCCTCATTAATCAAGCACTCTCACAGGCACAAGTGGATTTTGCACATCATTTACGGGATCAGCTCACCATCAGTTCATCATCTGTGCTGCAGTGAATCCATTGGCAGGAAGAAGCACAATCAAATGTGAAGGCAACCGCAAGAAAGCATCATATAATTTATGGGACTGATATGCCGGATACCAAACAGTTCTCTGTTGCATTGGACCAAAGCTTGTCTCTAGGTTGGCTGTTTCATTCGACATTTGAGATAAACTATTTACATATCCAGTGTTTAAATTGCACATTGCCCAACCACTGTGTGGAAAGAATACCTTTGTACAAATTGTGGAAGTTGCACAGATATATTTGTTTTGTACTACTGCTAGATATTACAGTCATGATTCCAATGGATATCAGTGCACTATATTTCAAGAATTATATTAATATTTCATAATTTATAAGCACTTTCTGAAGTACACAATCCGAATACTGATTTCCAGCATCTGTAGTTACAAATCAATGATACATGAATTACTGCTATTTTTGTGAATAATATTGTTATTTATCTTTGGTAACTTGAATGATGTGCCAGTAAACTATTGTTAATGCTGCACCATTGTGTTTGTTTGTTGTTTCAATACATTAAAAGGCTAGGATTATTACACAACATTAACCAGATGTTATTCAGAAATGTCACTGCAGGTAAAAAAATTTAAGGTGACAAGTTTTAATCCTACCAGTAATTAAAATGCCTTATGGCAAATTTTACTCCCTTTTATTATTTGCTACTTGTGGGATTTCCCTGCGAAATGAAATATATTCAGTAACAAGAATGGCAGAATTGGTTCAGGAAAGAGTGTCAATGCTTGGTGATATCAATAGGATGATTACAGGTTTGATCTTCCCTCGGTCTGATCTCCTTTGAAATTTGCAGAACATTGCCGGGGGCTTGATTGGTGTTATCGAAGTACATTTTACTGCATTTTTTCACTTTATTGATAAAAACTAAACATGAGGAAATAACACATTGTTGCAAAACATTTTTATTAATTTCTTCTTTAACAAAAACTGGGTGATCCATTTGAGGGGGTGGGAGGAGAGACACCAGTGCAGGAGATCTGCCAATAAACTGACACTCAGGACCAGTATCCTGACTGCGCGGCTACAGGAGCTCACCACCTCCTACCTCTCAGGCCCTTGTCTGAGGGTCAAAGACACAGAGAGACGCACATACACTCACAGACACAGAGAGACACACACACACACACTCAGACACACAGAAACATATACACAGGCAGACAGAGAGACACACACATACACATTCACGCAGACACTCACAAACATACACACGTACAGAGGAGACCCACACACTCACATAGAGACAAACACACAGAGGAGACAGAGACACAGACAATCTCAACAGCGGGGCCCCTGAGTGGAGCGAAGCCCATTCCCTTCTTCGCCCACAGTGGTGGCGTTGAGATGCAGCAGTTGCTTCTACCCGTTGGGGGTTGTTCCTCTCAGGGCTGCGTCACCAGCTCCCAGCTTGTGTGAGGGTGTCTAGTTGTCAGTATTGTCCTCTCGCAGGCTTGTCGCGCTGCACTGCTTCCAACCGCACCCCCACCCCACAGTGACATTGGGTTATTTTTATAGAACTGTGTCGTACCAAAACATCTCAATGTGCTTTAGATACTGTCAAATGCAAAGCCTAATTTTGTAAGCATGCGTAATGCATTCTTCCTTGGCAGTACAGTCCTGCTTGTCAAACAAGTGCCCGAGAGTCCATTGAGTCATTCAAAAGTTAAAATTCTATGCGCAGGGGTGTTCTACGTCTATCAATCCACGTTATCAGCAAAGAAGTTAATCGAGGATAGTGATTTTGGAACAACTGTGGAAAATTCCATTCCACACGTCATTTGGTTGCCATGCCAAACATCTCAAACATCTGAATTCAGCTTGTAACATTTCTCCTGAGATCAGTGTGTTCATGAATCAATCGTTATATCTGTCCCACTGAAACAACGCTACACTTTCATTACATTATTATCTTGAGCTGTGAGTGCTCCCAGTGAGGTGTATCCACACAGCATTTAGCATATCAAGGGTAACTTTACACGCAACTTGATGATATAATTGTACTGGGACCTGCAATTATGTCAAGGCAGGTTACTGGGGTGGGGTAGAAAAGGGATTTAATCATCCTCTGGTAAGAAAAATATCGTCCATGCCGACACGAGTTGATTAGATCCTTGATCAACACAAATCTATGGTTCTTTTCTCTGGGTTAAGAATAACCATTAGAGGAGTTTGAAAATAGAATGAAACCAAGCTATTTCTATATGTTATAACCAGTTGCACAGTTAATTTATGTAAATAGAATGAAAAGCTTTTTACGTAATGAAATATTAGTTGTTTGGCCATTTATTTCCATAGACAATTAAATCATTAATAACCTTGTTTTACAGGGCAATGTTAATGCATTTGTATTTTATTCAGTTTAATGGTATTAAAATTTGCCATTAAACTGCCATTTAACTGCCATTAAATTTGTCATTTTGTTATAGTTCTCAATTGTAACAAATTGTGATTTGTAAGTTAAATCAAACTACATTCCTTTTCAGTATTGGATATCAGAGCAGGCTAACATGTGTCACTATAAAGAACTTTCAAATATACAGCATTCAAAACATCTCAAAGGCTTTATAGTAGTTGTCAAGTATAATGATTGTTTTTTGTGGGCAAACTACAGTATTTTAGGATAAACTATATAATAATGATATAGATTGAAATGGAAAAGCGGTTTTGGTTCAGATATTCATTTCAATGCTACCTTGGTTTCAAAAACTAAGTTTAATCAGATTGTTAGTTCAAAAACATTTTAGAAACTCAAATCTAATTCTTCATGTCTACATCAACTTGTTTTTACTGTTACCTTCTCATGGTTGCACTTAACAGACTTCCTCCTGCTTGAGGGAGATGGCTTGGTATGGGGCATAGATATCTAAATGGTTGCTGCTGATCAAACAGCATTTGCCCCCTTCTGTAAAATGTTTTTTTGCATCACGGTGACCTCAGGGGCACTGCTTCACAATCAGGCTAACCAAATGGCCATCACAATTTGACCCATGTATTATCCATGCTGCATTAGGAATTCTTGAGATATATTACACCCTAAAGAATTTTGTACTTAAACTTTGTGAAGGGTTCTTAACTTAAATCTTTGTCATGGAAACTTCTCTATCCTGATTTGAATATGGTACGAGCACTTGTAGGACAAGTAAACGGAGGGAAAACTTGCTCTGAGGAAGACATCCGATTTCGGGACATCTTCTCAATGTGAAGGGTACCATATAAATATACATTTTTTGGTGTTGTGTTGTTTCTTCTCAGTAGGAATGCCCAACGAGGAACAAGGTGCCCAACTGACCAGTGGAATGCGACTCATGCTACCTCTTTCACCTGAAGGTTTCTCACAAGAATTGTAGCAGCATAGATGGGATGGAAGTGTTCAATGGAAGAAGATTGAAAGGTGATGTGATCCAGATCCTTAAAATGAAAAGAGCTGCAGGTTTATCTACTGGAGATAAATGAATATTTTGAAGATTTGCTTGACTACTGTTGGTGACCAGAACATTTTCCCACAGATGAAGTGGTTGAAGTAAAATCCATAATCAGGTACTGTTTGTGTCACCTGAGGAAGAGAACCAGAGATGTTTTTTTTACCCAGCAAGTCATTTTGATCTGGAATGCACTGCCTGAAAGGGTGGTGGAAGCAGCTTCAATAATACCTTTCAAAGGGGAATTGGATAGATACCTGAAAAAGACAAATGTACAAGGCTGTGGGGGAAAGAGCGGGGAAGTGGGACTAACTGGGTAGCTCTTTCAAAGAGCCTGATAGCCTCCTTCTGTTCCGTAAGATTCTATGATTCTATGAGTGGGATTGAAGGGTGAATATCTCTTTCTCGTTCCATTCTTTATCAAATGCAAGAATTATTTATTACTATATTCTAAGGAGCAATACTCACAATTGAAATTGACACCTCCTTGATTCCTTGCCTGGCTCTTCATTCTCACATTATTTTTGACCCCATTCACTTACTTTAATTGACAGAACAGCGACTCTGTGAGTTACAAGAGATGGGCTTGGTAGTTGCTGATGAAAGTATACATGTTAAATACGTTTCCAGTGAGATTTTGACTGCCATTTTGAACATCATACCGCTTGGAAAGATAAATACATTTAGCACTATTTCTATTGAAGAATAGTGCAATGTACTTGGAATAACTATTTCATTCACTGCAATACAAGTGAAGCTACTGAAGGCAGTTTTACAACAAACTGACAAAATAAGAAACTGAAATAGCATTTATTACCACCTTTAGCACAATCGAGCAGTATCCTTGGAATCTATTGTTTCTGCATATTAGAGGGTTAGTTCCTAGCCAAATACATTGTTTATCAATACAATCAACATGCTGATGCACTTAAATATTTGGACTAAGTAGATCAATTAATCATTTCTGTTTTAAGTGCTGTGAGTACCATATTCTTTCAACTGTACTCAACTATTTCCTTATGAAAATACTGTACATCTCAGCAGCAAATAAAGGTTAAAAAAAACTAACAAGCTGCATATATACATTAAACAATTAAATGGCGGCTTGTAAGTCACGCACAGCACCTAGTACAGGTCTCAGATACATTCAAAGCAGATCCAAAACACTGTTTTTAACATGAGGTCACTAAATATCTGAAAAACACAAATGTGTTTCTCAAGCTCATGACGGACTGTATTGCTTTCACAGTTAATACTCAGCCATTGCACTGTTTCAGGCTAAGTCTTTAGATTTATCACAACAGTGCACAAGACCTTAGATTTTCTCACGAGTTTTAATCTTTTTACATAGGCTATTTTTTCCCCCAAAAATAATGAAAAATAATAGCTTAGAAATGCTATTTTTTTAAAAAAAATCTAGTTCCTCCAATAAAACCGTATTGAGTGTAATGAGCACATAAATTCTGTACTGGCAATGTCCAATGGTGTTCTATAAATTACCTTATTCTGCTTCTATGTTTATTCAACACAAAAGTGACAACAAAAATGATTAGATGTGGAGGCGGGTTCTAATAAATTGTTTCAATAATGCAAAAAAATGAAAATTTACTCAATTCAATAAATATTAAAATTAAAAGCTCTCATTCATTTATATACAAGAACTATACAAACTGCAACAAAATTATGTTAATATATGTACTCGGGAATGAATGATGTGCTAAGCAGCAATCTAAGGCGGATTTGTACAGGCACAAGACAACTACATGTACATACGATAGCAATTATTCATTTAACCCTACATAAAGCTGTTACTTTGTAGAATGCTGGCATTTACATTATATACATTCGAACTGTAAATATATCATTTAATGACCACAACAGTACTGACCATGTGTTTCCAAGACAATAATTAAAATTGCTCAAACCTAGCACATATTATGGCACCAGGATACTTGAAATATTGAGGAGCTATGTGCATCACTGTTACATTATTTTGTTGGAGTGCAGTCCAATCCATAATTTTGAAATCATTCAGTTAACTTTTCTTTAGAAGTCGGAGAATCACAAAGTATTTTATGAGTGAACTATTTGTGAAATTTTTTCGAATATTTATATAGTTCAGCGCAGTTCATTAGTATTAAAAAAAAGCACCATTTTCATCAGAATGCGCTTACTTTAACAATGGTGGAGCTTGCAGTTACTTTTACAGTGCTTGCACATATATCATCATCTCACTTGGATGTGATATGAAACCAGTGCTGTCCTTAGTCTGCTAGCACAACATGCCTTTACCTGTCATCCAGGCAAACAATAACACCAAGAGGTTTTCAGGCTTGTACATTTCCACTGAGAGTAACACACAGCACAGCTATTCAGTTCAAAGGAAAGCAGTGCTGTTGTATTGGTGACAATTCATGTAGCTATCGGTGAAATACTGTGAGTCATGTCTGCTTGTGATTCAGAGTCGTCCCTTTTCTGCGCAGTTGCAGGCGCTGAGCTCCATGTGTTTCTGTTACTGGTTGTACGAGGCAATGTCTTGTCCCCATTTGTAAACAGCCGATGAACAGCAGTGGAATCTATCGAGCCCACACTACTGTGCCGTATTGTCTGTTGAGCAGGTGGCAACCTGAATGTGCTTGCTAAGCCATGGGTGTTTTCTGTAGCAAACCTGTTAGTGGTTCCCAGAGATCTTGTGGCAAAACGCTTGGATGAAGAGTGATCGGTAACTTGAGTACTGGCATCTGAAATAAGGGCTCCTTCGCCCTTTCTTGTGGTGGTGGCTCTAGATGTCTGGTACTGGTTATGGGTAGTTGGGCTTGCCACCAATTCTGGGACATTGCTGGGATGGATGGTTCCTCTAGTACCTGTGGTCTCTGAGACAGCCTGAGGAATTGGAGTTGACAAGGTGGGGCCCCTCTTATTGCAGGATTCACAGCACAGCTTATTATAGCCAGGGATGGAGCAGTATCTCGCCAGAACTTCCATTTGACAGAAAATGGATTTATCTCCAAGGCAAGGTTCCTCTGTAAGTGAAATTCAAAATATTTACTTATCAAAAAATTATTTATATGCAGTAAAAATGACATGGTGCAGCTCCCCTCATTAGTTCAGGAAACTTTTTGATATGAAATGGGAACTAAAATCTTTAATCAATTGGAATGTATTAATTTAAAATGTGAGTGCTCAAGGTAGAGCACTGGACTAAACAATAATAATGCTTGCATTTGATATAGTGCCTTATCACGTCATTGAAACGTCTCAAAGCACTTTACCCGATATATTGTAAAGTGGATTGAATGAAATATGGCAGCCAATTGCGCACAACAGTGTCCCACAAACAGGCATGGATTCAGTTTCTTTTTTTTGAGGGCTTATTATCCCCAGAAAGCGATCTGCCAATCGACTAACATTCAGATTCCTACTTACTATTAGGTAAACAGAGGTAAACAATGATTTTGAAAAAGAGCTTTAGAATATTAGCTGTTCCTCTCTCTCCTAATTTTATTCTGAAATGTTTTCATGCAATTAAAACATTGTTACCAGTGTTAATTAGCTAATCCTAATTATGATACCCAAGTATGCAACAAGGATCTTTGAACATTTATAAGTCTGGATTGGGCTGCCTTAAGAGCAATGCATTTCAGTGCCATTCATAAAACATTCACAAGCCCAGGATATAAAAGCCAAAGCCTTCCTACATTCAATTATATAAAAGTATTAACATCAGTAAATGTGAAGAGGGATCCAGAATGGTTTTTATCAAATTGCTCATCAAATTGTCAGTTGCTAGCATTAGCAATTTTTTCATTATCCATTTATAATTGGAAATCCTATTAGAGGACAGCCTGTTATCTTTGGCAATAGATAGGTATCAATATTCTTTTCAAAATCCTTTATTAAAGATCAATCTTAATCTGAGTACTTATGAAATTCAATCTTCCTAAATGGTTAACTATCATTCTTTATGTAAAATTGAAAGAATTGCAATTAGCTTTACAAATAGTCTAAACCATCATCACAGATGGCTGTTGTTGGGGTACAAATGTTGCAGTATTTAGCGAAATGTATAAATACTAGATTAATGTACACAAACATCAATATCATAAAATAATTACATTCAAGAATAATCTCTTTATTATCGACCTGAATAAATTGAACCCAGTATGACATTCTGTATGTGAAACTACTCAACACACTTTGACAGTGAAGCTATCAACATTTCATCAAATGCAACACAATGAACACAACTCATGATACTATTCATGCATAACTGGGATGAAAAAAATTGAAAAAAATAATTACTTGTAGAAATTTTATGAACGGGGTTTTCTGGAACAACCTGCGATACCCAGTGTACACGTGGAGTCACCTGATCACTGCTCTCTCTGCTTGGAGTAAAAACGGAGGATTTTCCTGAGTGAGCTGAGAGTTTATGAGAAAGTTAATATGGTGTATTAAATATCATCTTATAATGCATTATGACCCGGTTATGAAAAAGGCTAATCTCACGTAAATAAAGCGATGTATTATAACTATTATAATAACTTAAAACCGTATAAAATATGTTTGCATGCATTCCATGTAATAATTAAATGCTTAACATGAATATGAAGCATGAAGATTGGTAATAGTCAGTGAGGAAGTCAATGCAATGTGGTTAGGTCAAGTTATTGCCATACCTGCACACAGTACCATTTTACAAACTTGTACAGTCTCAGGTTTTTTGCCTTCGCAATGACCAATGCTATTATCGTTGGCTCGGCATACCACTTGTCTCTGCTGAATACCCTCTCCACAAGTCACAGAGCACTGCAGTGAGACAAAGCAATACTATAACAATAATAATCCTTGCATTTGATATTGCGCTTTTCACATCTTCTAGACGTCTCAAAGCGCTTCACAGAACAGAACTGTAAAGTGAATTGACTGTATATTTGTGGGCGAAACGCAGCAGCCAATTGTGCACAGCAGCGTCCCACAAACAGTTGTGGATTGAAAATGACCAATTTATTATTGGTTATTGTTTTGGAGGGATTATTATTAGGTGTGTAGAGTAAGGAAACTTGCCCAAGGTTTTGCCCTGCTTACACAACATACACAGAAAAAAGGAAGTTATACATTCAACCAGCAAACTGCCCACATTACATTACATTGCGAATGATTACACCGATAGAGGAACATAGCAACAGGTACTATATAGTATAGTATATAGTATAGTATAGATACTAGTGGAATTGCTGTTTTTTGATTAATACATATTTAAATTTTCAACAGATAACAGTGATGTTCATTTTATTTCTCTCTCTCACTGCTGGATTTTTCAAAATCGAATGTCGGAATTGAGTCAACTTTCTGATTTGCTGAGCCAGGCAGGTCTGATCTCGTCCAAGGCACTGCTTATGACAGACTAGCCATCCTGGGTCATTGGCATTGGAGGGGCAGACAAGAAAACCAGGCATTTTCCCATTCAGCTCCTTTTAATCTTGCAAAGCCCTAATGGGTTGGATGGTCCCAACTGGATAAGCAGTGGGAAGCTTACGCAGCTCACAATGACAAGCTATGTGAGTTTAACTCTAACAGGAGCTCAGTATACATTTGGGGTCCCTAAGCTTTGGCTCTGACCAATCGGTGCTTAATGCTTTCTGGCATTAAGTAAGTCCGAGGAGAGAGTGCACACTTTATTCCACACATAGGGAAATTTCCATGCATTTGTGGAACTCTCAGTCTGGTTTGGATACTTTAAGCGTGGCGATGGGTTTATGCATGTGGCTGACCAAAAATATCCACTTCATTTTTTTTCATAGAACTGTTTCGGTATATTTATTAGTGGCCAGTTTAGAATACTTTTAATATTTCATGTAATATTTTAAATGATGCACAGAGAAACTAGATCTGTAAAATCTGTGTACCTTAGACCAGGCGCCTGTACGCCATTGTGCTGGACATGGTGCACGGTTGCAAGGTCTTCGACCATCTGGACGTTCTCCATTACAGTACTTGGTGTGGACTGTTCGATTAGTGCCACCATGGAGAGGTTGAACACACTGTACAACTCTTGTCTGGTATCCCACTTTCCCACATGTTTTACTGCAAGATCCCCATTCCTCTGTGATCCACCTGCAAAGGAACAGAATTGAAAACAAAGGCACCATTCGTCACTAAATCCAATATAGCCAAAACGCCTTATCAATAAGTGTGGAGCTTCAAGTGATACTTTGATAAGTTTTGCTCTTGAATCACTAATTTTTCATGCTTTTGTTCCAATTGGATGTGGGGGGAAAAACTTTCAAAGTTTATTTCAATGAAAGAATTCATAGTTCTACAAGAAAAAATCCAAATATAATAATAATAATCCTTGCATTTGATATAGCGCCTTATCATGTTGTTAAGATGTCTCAAAGCACTTCACAGAATATACTGTAAAGTAAATTGACTATATAATTTGTGGGCGAAACGCGGCAGCCAATTGCGCACAGCAGAGTCTCACAAACAGGCATGGATTGAGTGACCAAATTATTATTATTATTTTTTGATGGGATTATTACCCCAATAATCCGCCAATAGACTAACAACTGGCATTCCTACCCCCTTGCTAGGTGAACAGAGTGTGTAATAAGGAAACTCATGGGTAGTTTTAGGATACCAAAAATCATAACCAGGAATTCTACCTGAACGTCTGCAGCATCAGTTAACTGGTGACTTTATTCCAAGTTATAAATTCATTTTTCACCACAGAAGAAAGAAACATTCAACACTACTGTCTTTTCACCTACAAAATGCATTTGGAACTTAACTTGCAATTCTCTGCATGGTTTTGAAGTACAAGCAATATTACAACTTACGATGGCTGTGTGCATTCGTGAAGGTTGCAGCGTCTCCTTATAGGTTTTGGCTTCTTGTTGTTATCACAAAAGTTCCTGTGTACCATCTTGTTGTCACTTTTTCTTCTGCAACCGTACTTTGTGTACTGTATCCCTGAAAATTAATAAATATTTGCAATTTAATACAAAGCCTTATCAGGTTAAAACATCTCAAAGCACTACTCGTAGTGAGTTAATCTGACAAACAGTGACTATTTTTGGTCGGCTGGGTATCTGACACATTTGGAAACTCATCACCATGCTTAACGCTCTCCAAACCAAGAGGGGTGGAGGGCAAGGGGGTGGGTGGGTGGGGGAGCAGGTTGGCAAGAGCCAAGGTTCCCAGAGTGGTGCAATGGGGTGTGTGACGGGGTTTACAAGCAGCACAGTCATGTTTTGATGATATTGACCACGAACCTCCTCCACAAGGCTTTGAACACTGCGACCAACTCTTCAAAGCCCATTCATAAGTATCAGTCTCTTCCAGGAGCACATTATTATTGCCAATCACAGGAAGCAGGTCTTCGTGAATAATGTACTTATACATCAAGCTTGATTTAGTGTCATCACGTTGAGGAAGAATCTGAAATAAGAGAAATTCTCAGTTTTGTTAAACCTGCTCTAATGTATAACAAAATGCTGTTACATTTGCCAAACGTGGAAGTCTGAAATTAAGTCTGAAATTAAGTTATTCCTGGTTAAGTTTGTAATACATTGGAATTAATTTGGTAGTTTTGATTTACCTACTCACTTTCCCTCAGCTTACAGAGATCAGAAACCCTGCACATAAGGTAATATCACTGGTATATTTCCTTTAAATTTACTGCAGAAATTTTCAAGATCTGAAACCATTTATAAATAAAAATCTGATTTTAGTTGTTTCCACACTCCACACACCTAATAATAATCCCTCAAGAAAAAAACCAATAATAAATTGGTCACTTCAATCCATGACTGTTTGTGGGACTCTGCTGTGCGCAATTGGCTGCCATGTTTCGCCCACAAATATACAGTCAATTCACTTTACAGTATATTCTATGAAGCGCTTTGAAACGTCTAGAAGACGTGAAAAGCGCTATATCAAATGCAAGGAGTATTATTATTATTAAGTCTGAGCTTTATAGGAATGAACACAACCAGAGAAGGTCTGTTACAGTCTATCTGACTAGTCTCAGAGTTTAAACTTACGAAAAATTCTATCTTATGCTCCTTAATCAAGGTTCATTGAAAGTCCATACCACCAACATCGGTAAATTTACTAATCTGACTGAATCAGATGCTTGGCTGCTAATGGACAAACGTATCACTCACTAGATATTTATTAGAAAAATATCCTCTTTTTTGCAAGGATTATCAAAATCAAAAGTATAGTATAGATAAACAGTTTAGATTATCAAAACCGCAGCAAAATTGCCGATTTCTAAAATTTGCTTCAATATGGCTTAATGCCACAACAGAAACAACCATAAAAGCACATTTTTCCTGCCATTTCCAAATAATGTTATTCATTATTAGTAAGTGGAAAGCTGATTTATAACAGTACGGTCAGTATAGACTTGTTTTTAAATGTATAATTAAACTAGTTAAGTATAGAATAGTTGTAATATCTATGGAGACAGTCTCAAAAAACATACTCAAAGCATTTTATATTCAAAGCATTTTCAACTGAATTAATCCCAACTTAGCTTGCTTCCAAAAATCAAACATTGTTCCCAACATGTAAGCCAACAAAATTTGATTGCTGTTTCTATGTATAGTTGGCATATTGTACCATTTATTATAAGTAGTCTGGTATAGTGAAGCCCATTGTAACTATAGTAAAACCCATTGTAACCCATTGGGCAGTTCGAAGGCCCAGTGAGCATTATAACAGAGCATTATAACTGGTGATTGCCAGTCAGTGCTTCTGCTTTCACAGCGCGTGCTCGCAGAAAGCTAGGGCAACTTGCTACACTACAAAATAGCTGACTTCTGGGCCATCAACGATGTTCCTTTTCGTGCTCTACAGTGACCTGATGCCATGGAAGTCATGCAATTTTTAGCTTTCGAAAAACTGGTCGACATTTCCTGCCTGCATTTTGGATTTTTTGGGTAAGTAGATGTCATCTGGACCAATGCATTTTTTACAGCAAGCATTAATTCTCTAAGGAATGTTGCCTAAATTGACTTTTCTAAAATTCCTCCATGAAAAGGTTTCCATGGCACCAACCCAGTCATAAGGACAACATGTGTGGTTAAATTTGCATTCATTGCTCTCTTTTAAAAAAATAAAAGTTAGAATTGAAACCATGTGCATTATGAAACATCAGCTATTTCATGAGAATAAAAGCAAAGTAAGAAATCAGCTGATAACTCTCAACATTGCTGTCTGTATGGAAATGTAAAGGAATTAATATTTGAGTTACTTACAAAGACGACAATATTATCATGTAAAGGACCATTGGATTTAAGAATTTCCTTATCATCTTCAATGGTGTACTCCCACTCCAAACCCATGTTTATAAATGATTTGGGTTTTGAATCCTCACCCTTGGCATTCAGGATGAAATTTCCAGTTGCTTGATTCTTCACAGCTGTGAAAAATATGGCAAATAAAATACACATTAGCTTTCCTAAATACTGGACAAATAAAATGCCTCAGGTTATGGGTTTGTTATATAACAAGCATGCTACATTTTGTAAAAATGTTAATTATGAATTCTTCCACAGTGATGCCTCAATGAAATATGGGCTAACTCCAAACCTCACTGTTTTCTGAGGCACGTACATAGATGAAAAGAGTAGAGCTGTTGAGATGAAATGCTTACAAAGAATATTCTTCGATGGCTCGGTTTCTTCAATCTGAAGCTGTCTTGCTCCTACTGGTATTTCAAATATCTTGAACATGCCTGTAACATATAAGATATTGCAGTGGATTCTCATTGGTTTTGGTCAACGTTCTTTCTTTCTGATCATTTAGAAATAATAATCATAATAATCCTTACATTTGATATAGCGCCTTATCATGTCGTTGAGACGTTTCAAAGAGCTTCGCTTAATATGCTGTAAAGTGAATTGACTATATTTTATAGGTGAAAGGCGGCAGTCAATTGCGCACAACAGCGTCCCACAAACAGTCGTGTTTTGAAAATGTTTTGAAAACAAGAGGAGCCATAAATGCTTTTCAGCAAAACTCCTATCAAAGACTGAGGGAAGTAATTTCATAATTGAACATAATGTGGAGTCCTGTAGCTCAGTGGTTAGAGCACTCGCCTTGCAAGCGAGAGACCTGGGTTCGGTTCCTGGCAGGGCGAAATGTTGGGCAAGTTTCCTTACTCCACACACCTCTGTTTACCTAGCAGTAAGTAGGAACCCGGTTGTTAGTTGATTGGTGGATCACTTTTCCGGGGGTAATAATTCCTTAAAAAAAAGAAGCTGGCCACTTTACAGTATATTCTGTGAAGCGCTTTGAGACGTCTCGAAGACATGATAAAGTGCTATATCAAATGCAAGGATTATTATTATTACGCATGGATAGAGGTCAGTGTGAGTTAACACTCTGAAAAGACTTGCCATCCTGTCAGCTAATGCATGCTACATGGTTTTTATGTGAAAGCTGGAACTCACCCGTTCGTTTGGGAGTCTTAGCAAAGGTTCCTTTTACTGTTCGACAATGTGCGTTGTCACCGCCACAAACACCACATTTATCATCTTGTTTAAAAGAACCAACCTCTTTATCACAACCCACGTGCTGCAAAGGAAAATTATTTGATAAATGAAAACGAATCAAAATGGTCTGCGATTGAAGGGGGAAATTCAAGACAAATCTGCAGAAAAACTATTTAAATGAGCGAGTGGTAAATGTATGGAACAGACTTCCTTGGGAGACGGTGGAAGCAGAAAGTGTTGATTCTTTCAAAAGCAAATTAGATAGATTTCTTTTAGGAGATAATATCTTGGAACACGGTTTATAGTTTGGGACATGACATGTGTATGGACTGCCACGATGGTGGAAAGTGAACTGGATGGACTTTGGGCTTCTTTCGTCTAGCATTTCTTATGTTCTTAACTGATTTTCACCTCCCGAAAACACAGCTGGGAAATAAAAGCTAATACTAAACTTTTCAAACAAATCAGTGAAAGAAGGTGCCAAGCAATGGTTTATTGGCTATGTAAGTGTGTCAGAGTTCCTCTAAACCTTATAAAGGACAGTTCTACGATGAATCCTGTAGCACCGAATGCTTACCACACATTCCCCTCGAGCACATAGACTGTAGGGATCGCTGTAACTACAACGTGTACCATCATGTACGACCTGATTCATAAACACCACATCTCCGGTTTCCTTGGATTGGCAAATCAGTTCACATTTTTGAGCAGCTATAATTCGGACATTGGGAAAGAAGAGGTCAAACACACGTGGCAGTAATCCCATTAAAAACAGCAGATGATTTCATAAAACTTGACAACAACGTTTGAGTGAATTATGAACACTAAGTGAATTATGAACACTAAGTGAATTATGAACACTAAGTGAATTATGAACACTAAGTGAATTATGAACCCTAAGATCTGGTCTTAAACTTTACAATCTACTCACTTTAATCATGTATCTTGGCTTTTGAAGACCTAATTGAGTATGTATTGTTAAAGGAGCCATATAATGGTGCACCATAAAGAAGTATGATCAAGGTTCAGATGAGCAACTTTTTCCATATAAAGAGGAACTGAGTTCAGACAATGTATTTGGGAAACAATACAACAAAACAAGTGATTGTGGAATCTCTTAGCGTAGTGTTTAGCGCACTTTCACTATCAAGAGGACCCAGATTCCCAGGCAGGGCGAAACCTTAGGCAAGTTTAATTACTCCACACGGCTCTGTTTACCTAGCAGTAAGTAGGAACCCGGTTGTTAGTTGATTGGTGAATTGCTTTCCGGGAGTAACAATCCCTCAAAAAAAATTAATCACTCAATCCACGACTGTTTGTTGGACACTGTTGTGCTCAATTGGCTACCGTGTTTTGCCTACACAATACAGTCAATCCACTTTACAGTATACTCTGTGAAGTGCTTTGAAAAGTCTTAGTGACGTGATTACGCACTATATCAAATTGTTGTTATTATTAACATTAGAGATAATGTGCTCAACTTGCTGGTAGAAGAAGAAAATAAGACTGTGCGTCACTCTGTCAAAGCCAGTCAGAATGATTTGGGTGGGGTTTGGGAGACGGGGGAAATAATTTCTTCGTGGACGCTAAATGATGCATAAAATCTGTAACGAACATATGCAATACATAAAAGCTGCAATACATTAATATTAGTATGCTATTTAAAAGCTTGTTAGAAACGAAAGCGATGAACTTAAATCTGGTTCAAGGACAAACTCACGATCATCATGCTCGTAAGGGAGCCAGGTATGCTTGATATTCTCATAAAGATAATAGGAATTTCGCTGTTGACACTGCTGAGCCCGAAAATCTTCAAAACGCCCAGGGCAATCGTCCGAATTGCAGACTTGGTACTCATGATTAAGACCAGGACAATCTCGTCCACCATAGGCTGGCCTGCAGAGAAGTGTGAAAGTCAGCGGGGAAGGAAACAGATGTACACTTGCGTCATGCTGAAATCTGTTCTTTTTGCTTAACGTATGCTGACTTCACTAAGGACACTGTTTTCCTGGTCTTGTGCTAAGAGCTAGAAATTCTGTGTACAAGATACAAAACTAGTGTCCTAATTGATAGCATAGTCCCAGTTGCCTAATTGGCTGCCACGTTGCTACCACAAAATACTCAGTCAATCCACTTTACAATATATTCTGTGAAGCGCTTTGAGACGTCTCAATGCCGTGAAAAGGCGCTAAATCAAATGCAATGATTATTATTATATTTATTTTAAATTCAGTATCTCGGGATGGCCTCCAGCATACATTAAAACAAAGCATCCTGGAAAATATCTAATAATGTATTATTTAATAAAATAACCAAAAAGTGTATTTTAACTGGCATATTAACTAACCTCTTGACTGTCAATTTTTAACATGCAGCATTCAATGACAACAAAATTACATTTGTATAGATCCTTTCACATCGGGAGGACATTCAGCCAACTAATGTGAAACTTACTGGGGATTACTGCACTGTCTGCTGCGGAAACGCACTCCACCACCACAGGTTCTTGAACAGGTCCCAAACTTTGTCCAGGAGCCCCAGCTTCCATCTTGACTATAGGGCTGATCTGAAGTTTTCCAAATACAGTGACCCTTAAAGCACCACTGGAAAGCAGACGCACAGTTAGCCAATCTATATGACTCACTATGTGTATTGCACTCCTTTGTATTCATTCCAGTATTGTATAACTGTACAATTTGGAGATTAACTATGATTTTGCGTATCCAGAAACTAAAGCAATATTTCAACTATTGAAAAATAATTTGGTCACTCAATCCATGATTGTTTGTGGGACATTGCTGTGCACAATTGGCTGCCACGTCTTGTCCACAAAATTTCACAGACTGAAAGCTTGACACCCTGTAGGAAATGCCACTGAATAACATAGAGAGCAGGTTTATCAGCGCTGGATCAAAATTAATCAGGTGGTGACTGTAGAATGCTGGTTACCTTTCCTGGGGAGCATTCTGTGCCATCTAACGGAGGACCCTTTTTGGTTTTGCAGAAGTAGGGGTTATCAGGATGACTGCACCATAATTGTTTGCAGGGATCAAAGGTTCGGAACTGCAATATGAACAAACACCTGAATGTCAAATTCTAATAAATGCAAGTACCGCAAATGGAACATTCACCAGATATCCACCCACAACAACAATAGTAAGGCGCAAACTTTGAAACTGGGATCAATTTGAATGAATAAAGCAATAACCAGAAATAAGTGTACATCAGCATTACACGTAATATAGCGTAAATTGTAAATAACTTTTTTTTTCTTTTGGTCAGCCGGGTGTCTGACACGTACAGAAACCCATCACCGTGCTTAAGAGTATCCAAACCAAACTGAGAATTCCATGCATCCCAACTACACAAATGTAAATAAAATGTAAAAAATAATCTCCATTAGCTCTCTGAAGAAGGCTTGCTTACCGCTGTGCACATTTTATAACCCACTCCAAAATCGAAACGACACTGCTCATCCATGGAGTAGTTGATTCCAGGAAGTTCTGGTAGCTTTGGCCACTTGTGTTCAAATGGGTCATCCAGAAGGCAATCATAAGAGCTAATAGAGTGGACATTAACAAATAAATTGGAAGCATATGTTTTACAAGAGATCGCAAGAAAGGTTCAGATGAAGATAATATTTAACCATATTAATGTAACATTATTTTAAAAATAGTTTATTCGTCCCCATCATGCATCATTACTCAATCTAAGAGAGCAAAATACATAAATAACTCTCAATGAAATATTGAAAACATTTGAAAGGCTTTCAAAAGTTTAAGACACAACTAAAAATACCTACTGTATATATCGGCTAAGTTCTTGTTTGCTGCAGCGAGACCAGTGGTAGCGATGGAAAGCAGCCTGTACCAAAGGTGCCATGATACTGCCCATACTCGTCTCATCAGCACAACGATTGCCTTGACCATCGTGCTCCATTCCAAGCCTGTTAACATACAAAAGAAACCACTTTGGAGATCAACTTACAATTGCAATCAAAATAGTGACAGTGGTAGGATAATACCAAATATTTCAGTCTACTGCGAGTAAGGGGGAGTAAATTCAAAACAAACCTGAAGCTTTGCATCATTTCAAGCAACAAAGGAAAGTTGCCCTTTTCCTCTTCCACAAGCATCCCCCAGAGAATTCAAAAGACCAAGGTATAAATTGTGTTTGAGCTTTCTCCACTCAGTATCTATGAACAGTAAGCACTGGGAGGGAACACTGATCAAATTGTTTGAAACAACTATTCATCCGAAAAACCAAATGCTATACTCTGCAACATCTGTGACCCATTTAGTTAAATTGTAAACTAAACTGTTTCAGGAAACAAGGCTGGCACCTCTGCTAAATTTCTTTCTTTCAAATGAAGTCAAACTGCTCAGTTGGACCTACAGTTGGAAAGATTGAAGAGCTTTCAAGTCTTTTCACTTGGGCCCTGTAGGTGGTGCTCATGCGCAATGATTAGCAGAATCGTTTTATGTTCAATGCGGTTTTCCATTACATTGCATTTCAATGTTTATAGTTTAGGGTCAGTGTGCAAAATTCCTACCAAGAGGCGGCAAAGAGCGACAACGTGTTACATTTTCTAAATAGGGTACATCATGAGATGCAAACAGAAATACATTTGTTAGGTGCCTTCACTCCTGTGAAAAAAGTCAGATTAACATCGGGCTCAGATGGGATAGTCAAAAATAGAATGACTGCCTTTTAGAAACAACAGTCAAGCCAAGTCCCTGGAAGAAATATGAGTGTGATACCAAGTCTCGGCAGGAAAAAAAGAGGATCCATGAGAAATAAGCGACCACAGAGAGAGTAGCAGCAAATCATTAAAGTGAAGTTTGAGCCTTAATCCTAGCAAGGAATAAGAGTTGTGGTGAATTAATGGGAGTACCAAAAGTGGTGGGAACATTGTGAGAAATCAGTACTAATTACTAGACTATCAGGATGAGAAAATAAATATTGAACTGAGCTATTGTAGGAAATATGAACTGGTAATCAATATTTACAAGGAACAAGAGGGCAGTGATCAGCTGTGCAAGAGACAAGAAACCAGTCCCTCCAAAAGACAAGAGAACAGTGATAAACCCATGCTAGGCAGAAGAGGTTTTCAATCAGCCTCTGCAAAGACTGAGGAGACCCTGCAAAGAACAAGAGAATGTTGCAGTAAATCACTATGAGTGATGTGAAATAAAATTGCTATGGCAAATTGGGAGAAACAAGGGGGTATTTGATGCGGTGTCATTGTGAGAAGCCAGTATCATAGCAAACTGGTGTAAAAGTATTGCAGAAAACCCTGGGAGAATTTACTTTTAAAAACAGCACCTCAATTGCTTCATGATAGAGAAAACAGCAAATGTCTGCATGAAAAGAACGTATAATCACCAAATGGCAAATTTGGAGCGAGATTAGAACAACTTGCATTTGTGTCCTGCCCTTCATGTAGGATAAGTGGAGTCCTGTAGCATATTAGTTAGATCCCTTGTCTCGCAAGCGAGAGGACCTGGGTTCGACTCTGGGCAGGGCGAAACCTCAGGCAAGTTTCCTTACTCTGCAGGCCTCTGTTTACCTATCAGTAAATAGGAACCCTACTTAGTCGATTAGTGGATCGCTTTCCGGGGGTAATTTGGTCACTCAATCCACGACTGTTTGTGAGACACTGCTTTGTGTAATTGGCTGCGGCGTTTCCCCCACAAAATTTACAGTCAATTCACTCTACGGTATATTCTGTGAAGCGCTTTGAGACGCCTCAAAGATGTGATAAGGCGCTATATCAAATGCAAGGATTATTATTATTATTATTCATGTAGGGTAACTTCTTGGAGCTCTTCAACGACTGGGGTCAAACCCTGAATGGGAGAGAAGGGGGACAGAAAGTGGGGGAGGCAAATTAATCCAAGTGAACACAATGTAGCTTCACAAAGCACAAACCTGATCTGAAGAGTTGTCAGAACGTGCTCAGACAAATGATCGCAATGCAACTAATAGGAGTCGTGCAATCAATTGCTGCAAACAAGATAATTTGCGAACTTGGTATTAAAATGTCGCAAACATTAAAGCAAATACATCTGAGAAACCACAGCATTCTTAGGAATTTTCATTGAAAAATGTTTGAAAAAAAATTGGACTGAGACATAATGGAAAGAAATGATGAGACAATGGGCCCTCACACGAGTGATATGAGTGCTCTGTGATGGTATATATGAAATGAGAAAAATTCTGTGCAGTAAATCACTGTCAGAAAGCAGTGTTATAGTGAGTTGTAAGGTATGAACTATCATGGTAAAACATTGCAAAAAAATTAAATATGTTTATATAACTACTGTATAATATTCCCATGGTCAGTTTAATGGCCAGGTAATATCCAATATTGTATCTGGAGGTGACTAAATGAGGAATAGAGTCCGCATTTTGCCCACAAATATACAGTCAATTCACTTTACATTATAATCTGTGAAGCACTTTGAGATATCTAGAAGACGTGAAAAGCGCTATATCAAATGCAAGGATTATTATTATTATTTATTATTATTATTGTAAGCAGGAGACTAGTACCCTGAGAATTTCTATGAAATAGCATTGTTCTGAGAAAGATAAATGTCACTGATGAACCATTGTGAGAATAAAGACCACAATAGCAAACCAGTGCAAGAAATGAGAGCGATTTGGTGAATTATTCTGGGACATCAATTGCATTGCAACAAATCCCTGCGAGAAATCAGAATACACTGACAAACCTTTGTGAGAAACTGGAACCCTATATCAAATGCCGGTGAGAAATGACTGCGCTGACATGAAACTTTGCAGAGGGAAATCAAAGTGTTGTGGGAAATCTTTATGAAAAAGGAGCCGATTCATACAGCAAAAAAAAATCCACAGAGTGGAAAGCAAGCAAAAGGTCCGATGATGAGGCTTAAATGTCCTGAGGCTACATTTTCTCACGATGGTAACTAAGGGTGGTGTTTGTTGCCCAAGAAACTTGATTTTCTGCTGGCCAATTTTCCAAAACTTTTTGACAAAGAAATGAATCATTGGTAATACTGACTCAGTTTTCCATCTCTTTTGATCAGTGCTAGTGGGTAAGTAAGTTTAACTTTGACTGTCGTTAAAACACATCGATGTCCAGCAAGACTGTTTCCACCCTAATATTCATCTGTCCTCTGCAGGAGGTACAGTAGTTAGAAAAAATATAATGTCTCAACTCTTTTTTAAAGTATTTCTAAATTAATACTCAATTTATTCTCCAGTTACTGCTTACTGTTCAATGAAATCTTAGTGAGAGTTCCAGAAAATAGCCAGCGTATTGCTCATGCTGTTCTATGATCCATAGGGGGCATCAATTCATTGGGCACGCTTTAGTATATCAATGGTCTCCCTCTACCTCCTGATGGTATGCCTAGCAGCAGAATGATGTTCCTTTTATCAACCTGACAAATCTTCTTCAGTTGAGATAAGTGAGACGTGCCGTCCTGGACAAAAACGTATCTCTTTCAGTTACTTGATCGCTCTCTGCTATTTGTGGAATAAAAGACATCCGTATGACTGTGTTTTGGAATTTGGACCGGATTTTATTTATTCGTCAAAATACACACATTTAACCTCCAGGAGATTTTTATTTAAATTGAACTATTTAAAAATCCTGTGAAATGTGGCACTTGAATTCAAACATCATGACAAGTACTTTGGGGCACTGCTTTCCGCGAGGGGCGCTATATAAATGCAAGTTGTTGTTGTTGATATCTGTGTACTCTTTAATGCAACTATACTTGAAAAATTTAACGAGCAAGGTTTATAATTTATCAGATCTTATTTCTCCCTGCTTTTTTTTTCCTCCTCCACAATTTACAACAACAACAACAACAAGATTCCATTTATAGAGCGCCTTTCACGTCAGGAGGACGTCCCAAGGCGCTGCACAGTTGGGTCATGACCCGAGCAGGGGGGAAATGGTCAGGGTGAGGGGAGGGGAGGGAGAGAGGAGGGGGAAATGGTCAGGGTGAGGGGAGGGAAGGGAGGGAGCGAGGAGGAGGAAGAGAGTCGAGAGGGGAGCTGAAGGCACGGTCAAAGAGAAAGGTTTTGAGACCGGCTAACAATTTAGCATTGTTTGTGCCCTGGATCACCATTACAGTACATCAGAAAAGGAATTAAGTTTCTCTGGAGTCTAGTTTTAAGTATTCCTTCAGTATACACTTACACATGTCCAGTTTCATGGGCGACCACAAATGCAGAGGAGAATCCATCTTCATGGTTGAGTGTACAGCTTCGAAGTGGATGGCACATGCCTGTCACTGGAGCATAACCTGAGCACAACACAGAGCAAAGAGTTCATGAGAAAGCTGAAACAGAGCAAATCCATTTCACGCACACTCAAGAGTCATGGCGCGTCAGCTCATAAACTTCACAGCTGTGTAAATCTTGTGGAAGACTCGAACTGAAAGCTGAAGTATCACTCAAACAATGTTTTGTTTGCCACCATTTTTGCTTTCTCTAAACATACATCTTGCACATTTTAAAGACTGTTTAACTGGATTGGAGGGGGCGGTAGAGGAAAATGTACCAAGATTGAAATTGACATAAAACATTTTAATTACACATTACCAAAGGCCACTCAAAATCCCAAACCTCACAGGGTTCCAAGAAACTAAGTCTCATGTAACTGGAATATGAATGATTAGGGTTTGGTATTCTTTGTGGTTTCTTCTGTGCAAACACATGGTACGCAGAGACTGCATGGAACACATTAAGTGTAGAGGAAAAGGCAGGTTACATATTCAACATTATGAATGTACAATTTTTTACTTGGGGTCATTCTTTCTTGGGCTTTTTCTGTTTTTCTGTCCAATTCTTAAATCGCACAAGCGAACACTTCTCTAAACCTGTTCAGAGGAAACTATAAGCAGAGAGTGGGGTTATTGTGCCTTATACTCTCCCAGTAGTGTATTTGCCATTGAAGTTAAGTGTTGCTGTCTTTTGTTGGCAACTTTCACAAATTTGTCTTTCGGTGCTTAGAAATTACTATCATGTAATTATATTATAGATGTAATTACACTTTACCGGCATAATGCAATGTCATTTATGAGTTGAATTACAAGACATTTATATCTATGCCCACAAAGATGAATTGTCGTCAAGTGTACCAGTGCCTTGGGACATCCTCCTGACCGTGAAAGGAGCTATACAAATGTAATTTGTTGTTGTTGTGTAGTGACTGGGCATTGTAGGAAGAAGTGACAGCCAATTTGTGTTCAGCAATGTTCTACAAACTGACATTAAGTGAATAGCCGATTCATCTGAAGGATTGTTGGTCCGTGTGTCAGGAAAAATTCCCTTTTCTTTTTGAATAGTGCCTTGGTATTTGAGGTCCGGTTGAGCAGACAAATGGGGTCTTGTTTTACTGTCTCATCCAAAGTACCGTACCTCCGTCAATTCAGTGCTCCTCCAGCACTACGCTGGAGTGTTAGCCTAGACTATGAGCTCAAAGTTCTGACATAGGACTGAGATTCCTCGCTTACAAGCCAGGTAAGCACAGTTGCTCACAGGTCAGACAAGGAGTTTCTTTGACACTGCAAATGAACGTGCCACGGGTCAGTTAATCCCTGATAAATGGAATTTGTTTGATTTTTTTTAAATAAAGGTTCCTTTCAGTAAAACTTGAAATGTTTCTCAATAATTTTGCTTAACAATCTCAAAGTGGTCACAAGACCGGCTCCAGAGGCTTCCAACGTTTCAGCAATTTCTATCTCAACCGACATTGCATAACATGTGTACACTATAAATGGCTGATTTCATGGTGTGAAAGTTGTCATTGATCACTTTGCTCTGGCAGCTTCTCCAGTGTCACTGCTGTCACACTGATCCACTTAGCGCCAGACCCTTTGCTCGTGGAAGGCAAACTATTCATCAGTACATCATACTGAGGCCCCCACTGCAAACATATTCTCTGCCAGAGATAATAAGCACTCAGCAAAAGGCATAACTATGCTTGCAGTGATAAGGAGACGTATAATTTAAACATTTAGCAGAATAGCACAGAATTCTAACACGAAATAGTAAAAGTTACAAACTACGTAAATAGAAATACATATTACAGATTTTCCTCGATCAAGTACGGTGCAGTTATCCAGCTATGCACAGCACAGCAAGGGCAAGAAATTTGTCTCTTTAATCAATTTGTTTCAATGGTGTGTAGTGCATGCATTTCTGATCTTAAATTAGATTTGGCATGCAGGAAACACTGTTAGTGAAGATTTAAATGCATGAAGCAATTGTTTAAAAGAAAGCATATTTGTGTCAGTTTTTAATGAACGTAGTAATCCTTATTAAGAGCATGAGAAACCAGGATTGAAAAAAGACTATTTGGCCAATGAATTACATTTCCACCACAGCTCATGAATGATCATCTATCAATTCCCTTCCTTTGATTCCCCCTTGAATTTAAGGTTCCTATACTATTTTAAAATTCATGATATATTACTACCTCTATAACCTATTTGCTTTTTTCAACATTGAAGCCCTTTTTAAGGTATCAGCACACCCAGATTAAACTAATTTAAAGAAAAGTATGGTCAGGTAGCATTATCTAGAATTTTGCAAATGGGACATTTTGAACACATTTTCTTCACAGGCAGTCAATCAAGATGTCTCACCACATCGACGTTTAACAATCACTAAATGCTCTAAATGCACATTATATTTAATGTTGTTAGATTAAAACAAAATGTTGCAAAACGTCTTGTCCCTTACATCACTAATTAACTGGCAATACAGTCTTGCTATGCAGAGATTATATTAATGAATATAATGGTTCTTCATGATATGTTAGTGAATCGGTGAGATATTGTGTAAACGCTCCCTTGCCTGATTGAAATACTAAGAGGGAATTATCACATTCATTAAGATCTGACAAGGTAAATGGCACAACCAAAAGTCAGAACCGGAAGTTGGCAAGCTCCTGGACTGTACTGACACAAAACAAGATAAAGCGCAGGCAATAAGTAGCTGAAGACAAGCGAAGCCTTGGCGTTTCTCACAGCTGCAACCAATTCGGGAAAAATACCGCTTGGAAATTTGAAGTAATAAAAGGCAAGGTAAAACACTGGATTGAGAGGAAGAAAAAGTGCTTCTAAAGTCATGCCGTATAACTGAATGAAGCCTGGGGGGGAAAAAAAACCTGTAAGCTTCATAACAAGAACATTTTCAAAACTGGCAAACATGGTTAAGAATGATATTACAGTGGTATAGGGGTTAATAACACAAAATAAAGTTTATTGTCGCCACATGCCAAAACTTTAGAATTGATTCTATGGTTGTATTTTTGGAAAAAAGTTACCTTTTGCAGGTGCAGAATTCAGACTGTACAATCTGCAGTACTGCACATACCTGATCGAGAACAATACAGTACCTTGCATACCTGCGGGGCCAAAATCTTGCCTGGTAAGGAATATGGCGTGATCATGATACTCGGCGTGTTCTGGATCAGAGCGCTGTTGTGAATGAGCCCAGCGGCAAACTTGCTCCAAACTACGAGAAGGATTCCCACGCTCTATCAAGCTGATCGACTGCAAGAGAAACAAGTATTGGGGAAAAATATATTTATAATAATAATAATATCCTTGCATTTGATACAGTGCTTTATCACGTCTTCGAGATGTCTCGAGTCTTCATAGAATGTACTGTAAAGTGAATTAATTGACTGCACATTTTGTGGGTGAAACGCAGCAGCCAATTGCATCACAGCAAAGTCCCATAAAACAGCTGTGGATTGAAGTGACCAATTTATTATTATTTTTGAAGGAATTATTGTGCCCGGAAAAGCGATCCGCCAATTGACTAACAACCGGGTTCCTTCTTACTGCTCGGTAAACAGAGGCTTGTGGAGTAAGGAAACTTGCCCAGCATTTCACCCTGCCGGGAATCAAACCCAGATCTCTCGCTCCCAAGGTGAGTGCTCTAACCACTGAGCTACAGGAGTCCACTGTATTTAACAGATATACAGAAGCCAAACTAAAATATCTTAAAAAGACACATTTACTTCAATAGTGGTAAATCTATGCAACAGGCTCGCTGGGAGGGAGTGGGGGACAGAAAGTGTTGATTCTTTCAAATGCAAATGAGATACTCTTTTTGGAAATAATATTTGGGGTTACAGTATATGAGTAGTTCAGGACATGACACGGGAAAGCGACTGCCAGGATGGTGGAAGCGGGACTCGATGGACCTTTGTCTTTTTTCTTTTAGCATTTGCTATGTTCCTATTAACTCACAAAATTGTTCTAAATGGTTTGCAGCTACATTGTACAGCTCCTGTACATTGGTTTAGAAAGATATTTTGCCTACTTTCCCATTGTATTGTGAATATCAGGAGGGACCCCAGACCTGATCCTGCCCTCACCCAGACCTTAACACACCAGCACAAATCTTGTTTGCTCACTAGCTCAGTGGGCGCAGAGGCCAATTGTAGCTTCCCAATTGTTAATTGGAGTCCTGTGGGTATTGTTTTAGAGCACTCGCCTCGCAAGTGAGAGGACTTGGGTTCGATTCCCAGGAGGGGCAAAACATTAGTTTCCTTACTCCACAAGCCTCTGTTTACCTAGCAGTATGTAGAAACCCAGTTCTTAGTCAATTAGAGGAGCGCTTTTCTGGGGTTAATAAATCCTTAAAAAAAAATCACTCAATCCGCAGCTGTTTTTAGGACACTGCTGTGCGAAATTGGCTGAGGGTTTTGCCCCCAAAATATAGTCAATTCACTTTACTGTATATCTTGTGAAGCACTATATCAAATTCAAGGATTATTATTATTAATATTAATTGAAGTCTTGGCTCAGATCCACAAATTTAGCATAGATTAGGATTCAAATAATGAAGACCTGTCACGGAAAAGGGTAAGAAAAATGTATATTTGAAAGTAACTATCTTCGTTATGAAGCACTTGGGTTCATCACTGACTTCAATAATAATAATAATAATCCTTGCATTTGATATAGCATATTTCACACCTTCTAGACGTCTCAAAGCGCTTCACAGAATATGCTGGAAAGTGAATTGACTGCATATTTGTGGCCAAATGCGGCAGCCAATTGCGCACAGCAGTGTCCCACAAACAGTCGTGGATTGAAGTGACCAAATTATTATTGGGTTTATTCTTGAGGGATTATTATCAGGCATGTGGAGTAAGGAAACTTGCCCAAGGTTTTGCCCTGCCGGGAATCGAACCCAGGTTTCTCGCTTGTGAGGCGAGTGCTCTAACCACTGAGCTACAGGACTTGAGTCACAAAGCTACTAGACATAGCTGTAATGGATTTCCATTTTCCTTTGAGGAAGGATGGATGACATTGCCTGTCTGGACCTACCAGGATAAACATAAGCACAAAGCAGACCTCACACTTCTATATCCGTGTCTAGATCATTCATTTTATACAAATGGAGCTGGTGAGAAAAATAAAGTGAATTTTGTGCTCATCAAGGTGAGGGAACTTGGTGCTGGGAAATGGAACATTTTTTTCCATCATTGGTCGCCCACTGTAAGCATCAACACTCCCAGATTCAGAGTACAGATTCTTTTATTTCCAGCCCAATATTGTAGGGCAATCTTCCTGCCCAAGTGTGATGTTTTGCTATGTCTAACACCATCCGTCCTTATGAGATTTAAAATTTGTGTTACATTATTGCCATTTTTGTGCTATGGATCCATACCCTCTAGGAAGTGGGTTATGATTGCCCAAACCCAGTTCATGAATAAGAATAATAATCCTTGTATTTGATATAGGGCACTTGTCATGTCTTCAAGACGTCTCAAAGTGCTTCACAGAATACATTGTAAAGTGAATTGACTGTGTATTTTGCCCCACAAACAGTCGTGGATTGAAGTGACCAATTTATTATTGTTTTTTGTTTTGGAGGGATTATTATGAGGCGTGTGGAGTAAGGAAACTTGCCCAAGGTTTCGCCCTGCCTGGAATTGAACTCAGGTCTCTCGCTTGCAAGGCGAGTGCTCTAACCACTGAGCTACAGGACTCCACTATTAAGCACTATTTTGTGGGCTACAGTGGCACAAACTAACCTGCAAGTTTGTGATGGAGCAAAAACTAGAACAAAATCCATTGATATTGTGCCTTTTACATTGGGAGGACGTGCCATTCAAAAAGCACACAGCACTCAAGTTATTTGCCTTACAATGTACAAAGCTGAACATTCTGATTTTTTCAGAATACTTGTGGACGGGGCTGTAATTTTTCAGCAGCTCCTGTATGAGACTGGCAGAGGATTTCCTAAGTAAATATGAATGAGGTAATGTATGTTACAATGCACTTTGGCATGGCTGTCACTATTCATTTTGGCATTCAGCAATTTTGAAGTCAAGTGGAAAAACTAATCCCCATGTGCTAAAACCTGGGTTGGAAAAGAAATCACTTGTCCAGCATTTCACAATGATCAAATACTGCAGTCAGACAAGTACATTTTTTTCGAACCTAGCTAACTTGAAAAGAAACACTCAACAGTAGACGTAGGAGCTATGGGAAACTAAAACTGCTCAACCTACATGGTATTATATAGTTTGAAAGATGAGAGTGCCAAACATGTTAAAACATTTTTAATAATCCTCTTTTTCTGTTTTCATTCATTTCAAAGATATCATTGTGATTTTCATCAAGGGCAATGAATGGATGACTCAATTATAAACCTCAGGAAAGAAACCAATGAAAAATGTTCCGAGAATATCTTTATGGGGTAATAAATTATGTCATGCCTTATTTGTTCCAAGAAAGTAATGTTTACAAAAATATCCTGAAATGCTGCGACTTATGTTAGTTAAACTTTCACAAAGAGCTACGGTGGAAGATTAAACAGGACATTTGAGTGTTTCTGGTGTTAACTTATTTGGAGTTATTTCTGGTGTTAACATTTGAGTGTTTCTTGTGCTATAAAGCTATAAAGCACAAGAAAAACTCAAAATGCATAGTGAATAAAATAAATATACTACTGCTACTATTCCTCAATTACTGATTTCCATCTCGTCACTGTATTGCACTCAATAAGCAGCTGCAATATAATTACAAATCAAGCAATATATAAGGGGTCTAGAACCTCACTGAAGAAAATCATCTTCAAGATACTTGCAGCATTCATAATTGAACAAGCGATTATTTGTAGATTGTAGCTATTGAACAGCAAGCAAAGATACTTTTATAAATGGTTACTGCTGCGTTGGGTTAGCTAATTCACTAGTTCCGGATTGTTTCTCAATGACCATCAACATTATCAACCAGTCTTGAATGTTGGCACGCATGCCTCTTTTATAGACTTCAATAGTTGTATCTGAGCAGTGTTCCTAGTTGTCCAGTCATTGTACAACTGACCTCTTAATTGCTGAACAAGGCTGGATAGATTACCTCATCCATGTCCAATTCTGGGAGACAACACTGCCTTTGCTCCCAGTCAGAGGAATAAAAAGAAATGTGAGGCCAAACAATTAAGATTCCAATCAGGGACAGAAAACAAAAGTGCTATAGTACAAGATCATTTTACATGAATGTTTCAGGGTTGAGCCATTCTAATTCAGAGATTTTTCTGAATGTGTAAAAAGGTTAGTTTGTTGATAACCTATTCAATTTTTTTGAAGGAACGTGCCCCACTCATTGATTTTTAATGCATAAGTAGATTTTGAGTCTGAATTTCTCAAAGCGTTTCATAGAATATATTGTAAAGTGGATTGACTGTGTATTTTGTGGGTGAAACACGGCAGCCAATTGCACACAGTAGTGTCCCACAAACAGACGTGGATTAAGTGACCGCTTTTTGGGGGGGAGGGAATATTATTCCTGGAAAGTAACCCGATAATTGACTAACAAACGGGTTCCTACTTAATGCTAGGTAAACAGAGGCTTGTGTAGTAAGGAAACTTGCCTAAGGTTTCGTGGTTGCTGAATTAAAACTCAAAAGGGAAAAGGCAGTTCCCTGATTTTCTTGATTGCTCATTTTGCTTTACGCCCAGATTGTGCCCAAATGATGAACAAAGTTAGATTACTTTTCTTTAATTACGTCTTCCTTTTCTATAGGTTCAGACCAGCCTTTAAGCCTTTTCAATGGAGGCAAGTCTTAGCCAATCATCAATAGGCAGAAGAGAGATATTGGATATCTTTTCAAAATTCAGGAACTATGCATTTGGAGGAAAACCACATTCAGAAATAATGACAAGATAGAAGCAAAAATGTTGTCGGGGTGTTTATGACTTAATCCTAAGGTTTGCCTAAAGGACTAATGTAAATGGAAGCAATAAACTGTAATGAAGGTGTAAGAATAAATCTCTGTGGCTGCTTTATACGCTGTAAAGCTACCTTTTTGCTGACCTAAGTTCAAATCGAACAAGCTTTTAAATTTGCTGGCTGATGGCTCCCACTTGCTAATTTATTACAAAGATAAACATTTCACATTGCATCCAGCATTATGTTTCTATAGATGGTTTACCTAAAGTTTTATTACCAACTTATATAAACAATTCTCCAGTTACACAGAGTTTTAACCTTATTTGTGGTGTACACAGGAATGCTAAAAATATGGACATTGTGAAACTGCACTCGAATAAGTGACACGTCAGCAAGTTACACTTCTGTAACATAATCTCTTAGTAGAGATAATGCCTAAACATTTCTAGACAAAAATCTGAATGGATCCTACAGATGGCTGTATCTGACGGCCAAAAACAATACAATTAATCTGCTTGAAGCTCACTGACTCAGCATGCAAAATCCCGAGCCAAGGTAATTCACTTCTTTCAGATAGGGAATATTGTAGGGTACATAATGACATAGAACCATTATATATGCATAAATGCATGAAGAACAACTGAAAATGCCATGTTGAGAGTCTGACACAAACCCTGACCCGCTCATCAACCTCAACTGAAGGCTCTTCTATAAAGAGATGGTGAGCTGAAATTACCAGTACAATAACCTTTGATAGGCTTGGTTCAAGGTTCTGATCCTCACACTCGTTTTCAAATCCCTTCATGCCCTGGCACCTCCCTAGCTCTCCAACCTGCTTACTCCCCAACCCACTACCGGCTACCTCCACTTCACTGGCTCTAGCCTCCTGCACATCCCTAATGCCCCATGTTCCACAATGAGCGGCCGCACTTTCAGCCACTGTGCCCTGAAACCGGGAACACTCTTCCTCCTTCCTTCCTCATCTTCGGATCGTGCCTGAAGACCATCCTCTTCAACCGTGCCAAGGTCACCTCCCCTCTCCCTCCAGCTCGGAGTCATGCTCCCCCACTGTCAAACGCTATATAAGTGCAAGTTATTGTTGATAAAAGATTGAAAATGAAACACAACTGTTAAGCGACCACAACCTTACTGTACAAAAGCACCAATCTGCATTGGAATGTAAGGAAACCTTGATTCTAAGAGAGTAATTACTCTCGGAGAGGGAGGAATCCTCACCTGGCAGCCTTTTCCATTCAAAATACAAACTATCAGAAGCTCTGGAAAGAATTAGAGTTAGGATTAAAGCTAATAATTAATAATTAATGAGGTGGCAGATCCAGCATGTGATGATGAACTAGAGGTTAATTGATATTATTATTATATAAGATATATATGTGTATATATATATGTATATACACATATGTGGAGTCTTGTCCAGTAGTTCGGTGGTTAGAGCACTCGCCTCGCAAGGGGGACCTGGGTTCAATTCCTAAGAGTGCAAAATCTTGGGCAAGTTTCCTTCCACACTCCTCTGTTTACCTAGCAGTAAGTAGGAATCCAGTTGTTAGTCAATTGGTGGATCGCTTTTCCAGGGATAATAATTCCTTGACTGTTTGTGGGACACTGCTCACAAATATACAATCAATTCATTTTACAGTTTATTCTGTGAAGCACTTTGAGATATCTGGAAGACATGATAAGGTGCTATATCAAATGCAAGGATTATAATTATTATATATTACATTATATTATAATATATTATATTATATTTTGTATATAAAAATATACATATATATTTTATATATATTATACATTTTATTATACATTTTATATATTATATATATTTTGACTGTTCGTGGGACACTGCTGTGCGCAATTGACTGTCCTGTTTCGTCCACAAAGTATACAGTCAATTTACTTCAATATATTCAGTGAAGCGCTTTTGAGACGTCTCAATGACAAAGCGCTGTATCAAATGCAGGGACTATTATTTCTTGCACTTCCAATAACTAGTCTTCCTGAGCCAACAGTCAGCATTCAGGATTAATGCTTTTTCTCTCCTTCAACCTTCTACAGAATTCTCGGGGATATACACAAGAAATATACACAGCGGTATTATTTTCTAACAAAGTGAAATGCTATTGGCGAGTTATAGATCTGTACATTTGAGTGCTGATCTGAAAGAGTTTTAGCACTAATCACTAAGCGATTGAGTAGGTTTCCGTGACATCCATTTTATAGTTGGCTGAGTATAACCTCTGTTAAAATCCTTGGAGATGAATACTCTGTTTTCCTAGGAATCATTCATCACTAGAGTAATCAATGGAAATAGGATTTATGACCGAAACTCTTAGACATCTCTTATGTCAGCAGTTAATTCTCATTAAATCTGTACATGTTGAGTTAAGGAAACGTGCTTTGAGTCATGAAGTGTCTGGTGACCAAAATCGTAAAGGTTCCATTGAGAGGGCAGTCGGAACGGGTGGCATTGGGAATGTGATGCTCTATGTTGTGACTTTTAAAGTGAAATAGTTCACCGCTGAATGCAACCATTTACATTTGGTCTGCTTTTGTGATATAATTCATGATACTGCATAATGGAATTCAGTGACAAGTCATATTCCAAGACCACACTCTTCATCGATTTGCCTGAATCATTGATAATTAACTAATAAATCAGGCAGTGGCTTTGAATCTTTTATTAACTGTTATTACTAATTGCTAATTTATGATTTCCTCTCGGCAGAAATGTTTTCTCACAGCAAAGGTAATTGGTACTAAAACTCTTTCAGATCCACAGCCAGGACTCAAATGTACAGATCTGTAACTCTCAGTTGTGTCTAAAGAACTGTTCGAGGTTAATCACTCCATGGAAAATAACAGTGAGCAGCTGATGATGTGGGTAAAAGTACAAAATCTGACCTCTGTTTGGCACCAAACTGTTGCTGATTTCAGAATACTGTGAACATCGTTTTAAAGAATTCCCTCCTGCTTATCTTTCATTTTTTATATAAAATGATAACTTTTTAATTCTTTAGACACTAACATCAATTTATCTGACATTTAGGTAGTAATTTGAATCACAAAACACACCGTCTTGTCTTATATCAGAGGATAAAAGAATGATATTAACTATAAATGTCAGAGAAGTGTCGGTTACTGGAGGGAAGTACACATTTGTTGTGCTAACTTTGATGTTTGCCAATAAAAATGAACAGCCAACGGCTCCTGTCTGGCAGAATTTCAGTTACTTGAGACTTTTGAGAGCATTCACAGGAACACCCTAAGGGTATTTTGTCTGTGCTTACCTTGAAATGTAATGAATAAGTTAACTTTACTTTAATGTCAATTCACCACATCTTCACTGGGTGCTACGCTGTTTATAAAGGTCTACTTTATGGTGTTGTGAAGCAGACTGATAGAAGTTGGCTCTCAGAAGGGTAATCGCAGATGTACGTTTCCTAAATTGCGTCTGTATGTATTAAAGTGTTGGCAGCCATTCCTGCAAACACTTTATCTGCATTAACTAGGATAAGTAAAATCATGCAAGGAACAGTTGATATATAATAATAATCCTTGCATTTGATATAGTGCCTTATCACGTCATTCAGATGTCTCAAAGCGCTTCACAGAATACACTGTAAAATGAATTGACTGCATGTTTGTCAGTGATATACGGCAGCCTATTGCGCACAGCAGTGTCCCACAAACAGTAGTGGATTGAGTGACCAAATTTTTATTAATATTTTGTTTTATTTACATTATTTATTATTTTATTTAATTGTTACCCCCCAGAAAGCGATCCACCAATCGACTAACAACCGGGTTCCTACTTACTGCTAGGTAAACAGGCATGTGGAGTTAGGAAACGTGCCTAAGGTTTCGCCCTGTCCAGGAATTGAACCCGGTTCCTCTTGCTTGTGAGGCGAATGAGCTAATCACTAGACTATAGAACTCCGAAACGCTACAGTACTCCATATATGGAATATTCACATTACTCTACAATGCAGGAAAAAGTATTTCAGCATAGAAAATACATCCACAGTGAATGTGTTGCATGTCTCTCAATTTCACAAACCATAACACAAAGATCTGCTCAGCTCACACTTTGGATCCTTTAAAAGTTACAGCCTTAGGTATTCCTGCCAGTTATAAGGATGTTGACCAATTTTAGATTATTTCAATGGTATGACTATCAAGTGATACACTTTCCACACTGGTTTAATACTTTTGGGGTAACACATATTTGATGAAGAGGTCAAATTAGGTAATTAGGATGTCTGTGTGCTTTTACAGTGGAGAAAAGATAAACCACAACATCATTGCTGAACAGGTGTGATAGGTTAAATGGTCTATTCCCGTTTCAATGTTACTGCCAAGAAGTTATTTGAATATTTGAATGTAGTGGTTACCAACAAACAGCAGGCAGCAGACTTTGTTCAGCATTTACTGTTTGCTGAGAGAAATGTTTCTGTTATACAAGCAAATCCACTGGCAATAGGAAAATCTGATTTAATCTCTTTTTCAAGCAAATCCTAATTTTGTATCAACCCATTCACATGCAGATTCCAAGGTTCCAGATTAAACTTGTTCACAAGTTTGGGTAAAAATTCTGGTGAGCATTATGCATTACCTTATTTTATAAAGAACAAAATTAACATGTACTTACCTGTCTGTAGCCTACCATGATCATCCTGACCAATACTATGTTGATATGGGTACCTAATGATTCATCGTGGTAGATTTCATCAACCTGCAATCACAAAAACATTTGGTTTCACACTAAAATTGAACAGGTACTGTGTACCAAAGTAGATATGTTCCTGTCAGGAAAAGCAACTAAAATTCAGACTGGTTTCAACTACAGAACCATAACTTTTCTATAATAATAATATGATCCTTGGATTTGATAAAGTGCCTTATTACGTTGTTGAGACTTTTGTTTAATTTCTTCTAATGAAGGTCTCAGCTTTGCCCAATACTTCCGTTTTATCCAGAGTAACTACTGGGAAAATCTAAGTGTCAGTGATCTGAAATTGCCAATGGAACAAAAATATATTTTTGCATTTTTTGACTTGAGGTTCGTCGCAAATTTTAATTTGTAAAAACTAAAGTTCAAATGAAAATCAGAAATCTGCCCTCAAACGTTAAGAAGGAAAGTGGGGAAAAGCTTCAATCCTGTTCATTTATAAATCAATATTCAAAGCATTCACTGCTGATTCCCAAAGGAAAACCCAATTGTGTTGATGCATAACAAGTGTAATAACAAATGTAATAAGTGTAATACATATCACTGAATAATAATGCTACATTTAGCAGACAGAAGGCACAACAACAACTTGCATTTATATAATGTCCTTCATGCAGTGTAGCGTCTCGGAGCGCTTCACAGTGGCGGAGTCTGAGATTGAGTCAAGGGGAGAGGGAGTGGGGAGGTGACTTTGAGCACAATAAAAAAGGAAGGTCTTTAGGCAAGATTTGATGGTGGGGAGGGAGGGGGCAAGGCGGAGGGATCGAGGAAGAGGGTTCCAGAGTTTTGGGGCGTAGTGGCTGAAGGCATGGCTACCGATGGGGGAGGGAAGAGCATGAAGGACAAACAGGAGACCGGAGCCAGCTGAGCTGTGGCAGCCGGTGGTGGAGTGGGGATTAAGCAGGTCGGAGAAGTAGGGAGGTGCGAGGGACAAAGAGATTATAATTATGATAATGAAAGAGTGGGACCAAGACTCCACTGTAACCGAGAGTGTGTGGGTGCTACAGAAGCCAGCACACCCATAGGTACAATCACTGGGTGAATAAAAAACATCCATAATATTGTGTGAAACTACAGAGATACGTTGTACATGTTGTGTAAATCCAGCTTTTCAAAACTAACATTTCTTAGTTTGCTTTTAAATATAACAGACAGAATGATATTAAAGTAATTTACTGTAAATGTATGTATAACAAAATGGTTATTTTTGCAGGAACCCTAACCTAACCATTGCATAAATTACCACACGACTGCATTAATATAACAATTTAACCAGTTATAATACATTGAAAAAAATGGCTAAAATACATGACTCCATTTTGTATCAATCAGATCTGCATAGATTATTTGAAAGAGATTACAAGTTCATACACTCTAAAATTCTTCTTCCCCGATGCCAAAACACTGCAAAAGGTATATGTGATAAAGGCACGAGGCTACTGAAAGTTTGATTGTATGGACTGCTAGAGTGTTGTCTCAGGTAATTTTCCAAAGGACGCTGCAAAATATTGAGCATTTGATCTGTTTACTGGTGTTTAACTGAAGTGCCTTGGTAATAAAAGTTGGACCTCCGCAATTGTTGTGTCTTACTCTTGGTTGTGGTAACAGAAATAATCAGAAACCCTCAAAAGGTTTGTCCCCTTAAACACAATACAAAGAAATTAACAGACACATCATGGAAGTATTAGTGTCTGTACTAGGAACCTTATCTGATGTGGGAAAATAATCTTTAAATTAGTTTGAAAAGTCAATCAATGCAACAAATACTGCTGTAAGCAATCCATCACATTTGGTACTTTAGTGCCATTTGGTTCTGGTAATTCTCAGAGGGTACACATTTGCTTGGTTGTGTGACCACATATTTTTGATTTTTTGATTTAGTGACCACATATTTTTTGGGGGGTGGGGAGAAGGGATTGTTAATTCCGGAAAATGATCCGCCAATTGACTTACTTGAAGGGATGGGCCGATGGAAAGACTAGTTGGATGACTGACGGAGAAAACAAAACACACAGCAATACTGCCACTGAAAGACTGATCTATCACCTCAGAGGTAGTCTTCTGTCCTCAATTCAACATGGAAGTGCTTGAGTGGACCTTTCCCTACAGCATGTGCCCAGAAACAAAATTGTATGTTGTAATGCTCCTGAGATATTGTAGTTATGAGCAGATCCCTTTTGAATTTTACTACTGTACTAATTTTCTCCTGAAGATACTGACAAGTGGTTTTCTTGAGGTGGAAGATGGTGCATATTCCCTTTCTTAATTCCAATACTATTGACAATGGTGGTAGTCGATACTGGTGATTCCTCAGGGGACATCAGCTAAAGTTGCTACTCTTGAAATCTTTGCTCGTCCTGGCTGATCTACAAAGAGATTAAGTTTTTGAAAATGTTAGAATGAGCTTTAAATAAAAGTTGTAACTGTGACACATACCTTTTAACACATATTCATTACGTATGACAACAATCTGTGAACATGCTCTATGCATTGAGTAATATTACTTGTTCGTATTTCATACATACACTCACCAGAATTAGTGCTGCTGCTACTAATCTCATAGGCACCGATTCTCTTCAGACTTCAAGGCAAAATGGTCCCAGCACCTGCTTCGTTTCAGCCATCGGAAGTATGAGGGTCTGCAATCCTCCTCCAGTGCCTCCGTAAACCTAATGGTTAAACATGATCTGCTTGGCAGTCTTCTTCATACTACTGAACCTATTTTGATGTCCTTACAGGTTCTTTTGTTGCAAGAGATCACAATTAAATGTTCAGGACCTTCTTCTCAGGCTGATCTATATGCCCCAAGGTTTGGTGCATTCACAGTCACCACAAAGATGGTAGTAATCCCTCCCCTCATTATTGCGTTGACTTTCTCCTGTGTAAATCTTGGCTTCCTGGATCCCTTAAGTAATGATGCAACTTCTGTAATATTATGATGTTAGTATTAGCACATGGTAACTTATAAAGTCGACAATTTTGCACTCGTTAAAATTTTGTTTGAATTCTTAAGTTACTATTGGCAAAAGAATACCATGAAAAGCACAACATGTTACTCTAATTGTTGAAGTAAAGATATATAATTACCAGGGGTGGTTACTCCCTAAATAGTCAAAATCAGACAATACCACTCCAGCATAGCTTTTCTCAAAAGATACAAAACAAAGCACCTGTATGTAATAATAATAATCCTTGCATTTCATTTAGCACCTTATGATGTCATCGAGACATCTCATAGAATCTACCATAAAGTGAATTTACTGTAGATTTTATGGGCGAATCTCCATATATGTAGGCTTGCTGCTTCTATCTTCTCTAAATATAAATGTATACAAGAGAGCTTTATAATGGCTTGAATTACAAACAACAGAACTCATAGGGCAAAGCTTAAATATAAGCAGTTTCTTTTGGCCCATTGCTGAACAAACATTTTGAGCAGTCGTAGATTAAAAAGGCAAATCCTGCTTTCCTCAAACACTGAATGGTGAAATCCATCTCCCTTAGCTATGCACAACCAAGGTTCTGCATAACCTTGTTTAATCAAAAGAAATATTGCCTTAATCTGTGAAAACACCTCTTGTGCTTTAACAGCTTCATACAGAATGAATGTGTTGACACTGGAAAGGATTCAATAGCCGAAGAAAGATGTGAGAGGCTGCTGATGTAAAACAATAAACTGACTGGTTGTGAAAAAATAAATATACTGCCTCTGACATCAGCAGAGAACAAAGGTAACATTCAGAAATGCCATTCACACACAGTCCTGTACTCAGCTGTGGACCAATCTCCTAGTGCTGAGGAATCTCCAGCAATGTATCCTATTTAATTGTATTATATATACACTGAGAGAAAAGATAACTTTGTTTTCCATTTCAAGGTTATCGACGTTGAAGAATTTCTACTATGTGATTGGTGAGTTTTCTCAGGGTGGCTGATTTGAATGATGGCCATTCTGTGGTCATAATCATAATGTAATAACGAAATGAAAAATCTAAATTTGCACCACTTGAAATGTAGAAAAGCACAGTGCTGAGAAATGTGTTTGGCAGGCAGCAGGCAAGCTTGCCATCACTACAGTCGCTGGTCCAATCTGAGGCCCTTTAGGGGATCAGGGTTTGCTCCTGGAAAAGGGAAAGTATAGCCAGTCTTCTATATGGCAATGAGTTCACAATAACATTTTATTTAAACTAGTTATTTAATACACACATGAAATACTTGGTTAATTGTAGTTTTCATTTTTTTATTGAAGATAAATGTATATAATATACTGTATATATATATCTTAACTATGTAATAAGGCGCTATATCAAATACTAGGATTATTATAATTATTATTATGTAAAATTGAAGACAAATATGAATAATGTTTGTACGATTTTTGTAGTCCTTAATACATTCAAATAGTGGCACATTCAGTGCTGTTTAAGAAGGCTGGCATCCATGTCACAAAGTTTTGTAAAGAACTGAGTTAATTTCTTTTTCTAAGTATTATAAAGTCTGAATAAATCTACAAATAATTTGTCCAGAAACATTATTATTAATGATTGCGTTGAATCAATGGGTGGTGGAGTGTGGTGTAAGCAGGTTGAAGAGGTAGGAAGGTGCCAGAGCATGAAGGAGAAAATTATAACAATAATTATTATTATAAGAATCCTTGCATCTGATATAGCACCTCATCATGTCGTTAAGACATCTCTAAGCCCTTCACAGAATATATTATGAAGTGAAATAACTATGTATTTTGTGGGCGAAATGCGGCAGCCAATTGCATTAATTAATTAACATTGTGCTTGGACTAAAACATTTACAGAATAGGAATGAAATAGAAAAACACATTGGAAATGAACACTTTGATCAGTTATTCTTGGCTTGGATGTGTTGTTCTCGATTTATTTTTATAACTCCAAACTAAAATTATCTCTTTAACATTCCCAATAGTTCAATGGATAAATGCCCACTACAGAATGGAAGAAACACATTGCTAAAGGATTCAAGAATCAAGC